AGGTCGATTCTAAACATTTTAAGTACATGTTACTAGTGTCACAACAAACAATTCCTAATTTTTCATATGATTAATGATTTCACAGAAATAGACTAATAGAAATTAATCACCTCGTTTGCACGTGACAATTTATTGCTTACTTTGCCAAACACGTCATCGTGATCCGCTATCAATTTTCATTTCGATGGTATTTTTATTACACCCGTCTGTCCATATGAAAAGATATATTACCCATGTTCCCATCATGATGAGCGTCATAAATGAAGCACCAAGTTTTTGTAACCAAAAGGAACGCCATATGACATCAAGAACCACAACCTCGCTCTACAGACAAGATGTTTTCTACTTAGTATAATAACTCTATGAATACTCAATTATTTCTCCAGTCTGTAGATACTTAATCAATAATATATCCTTATATGGTAATGCAAGTGTTTATCTCCCTGAACGGTCATGGAACATCCCCATCGTCCCGTTTTCCCGCCTAATGTCCTGCGTCACGTGAGCGATCCGAGGTGTATGTCCATTTTGATTTGGAACAATACTTATTGGACACGTTTGCTATAATCGCCGCTGCGTGTCAAACGTCTTTCTACCTTTAAAACAGTACATGCAAATTCAGCGTTTTCCGAGTTCGTTGGGAGTAACCATGCTAGTGACGACCAAGTCACGTTTGCAGCTTAATCGCTGGTAACAATTTCTGAGAATATTGATAGAAACAGTAAATTATGTTACCGTCACTCACATCCGTTCATCCTTTGAGCTTTGCTTCCTCCATAACGACTGTTGCAACAAAATACGGCATTTGCAAACGAGACTGATGTTCACTAATTCTCCCTGTAACATATAATGCGCTCATTAGTACGACTTAAATAACTTTTGTAACACAAATACAACGCTATGAAAACCACATTATATCGCCAATAGGAATTTGAAGGTCTCTTGCTCATTGTAAGTGATGACGCACATAGCATCCAGTCATTTACGAGCTGTTTTGTCGTTATTTTGTTCCATTATATCCAACACCACAATGGTCTCAGACAAAGACTTCCTTTAAACATTCCGACGTTTTTAAATCTCTCTATTTTAATGTACGAGTAATGGTATTCATTACTTGGAATAGTGCGCTGCTGTTAAATATCGCCTACAAGCTAATGAATTCTATACATTTTAATGTAAAACATTTTATCAAATTTGACTCTTTCAGATATTCAGATATCGAACATGTAACGATGGTCTGTTCAGCTAATTTTATTCTTGGATCTTTACATACAACTTTACTGGCGACTTAATCATACATATATAGTCATTTTTACAATTAGGAAAAAAATTTGTCGCAATTTTCCTTTTCTTGGTATCATCACATCCGTTCCTCCAGATATGGTGTTTAAAGGCTTGTGCTGAATATCATGGTTGTCATAACAAGCATTAACAGCTTACGGTAGAAATTGATGACGACGATGAGCAAGATCTGTGGTCAATCTCATGTTCTCATTTGCAAATATTACAATGTTTATTTTCTCGCACGAGGTCATTTTTTTCTCTTTTTTTTTCCTTTTCACAATAGTGTGTCTTCTAGATTAATCGTTATTTGCCTGTTTCCATTTCTCACCCTAACAATGCGACTTCAAGTGGTGGGTGTCGTTAAGGAAGCAGAATACCCTTAACTTTCCGGATCACTTGGTCTTATTCTCCCGATCATTTACATGATTCGCCGTTGAACTTTGTTTGTTGACGTACCAGTGAGTATAACTTTGAAAATTAAATATTTTCACTTATTACCCTTATAAGTTTTTTTCTGACAGGAACACTAAATTTCAGATCAATCAAGCCTTTTTTTTTGAGATTTATCTGCGTTTCTGACTTGAATAATACATGACGCCAGACGGAATACAGTTTCAACTAAGTCAATCCAGGCATCGAATCTCAGAAGGGGTCGATAAGTCACGTGATATATGTGGGAAGAAGGAAACAGGTCAGGGGCCAAGGTTGATAGCTTTTTATTTATTTTTTTTTTTTATTTTGGGGGGGGGGGAGGCAGGGGTAATATTAGATATAAATAAATCGATAGAAATAAACTTAAACAATGTTCATTTGTTAAACAAATTAAAAGTGAATTCTTTTCATTAATTGGATTTCAGGGGTCTTAATAGCGTGTCCGTTTGTTTGTCATACATGTAAGTAGTCACGGAAAGCGCGCGTGCTGACCTGCCCTTGTGCAGTCAGGTATTTCCAGCAGTAGTATCGATGGAATTCTAGCCTATGATGTATTTGTAATGTGTGTTGAATATGTGTTATTCTATACTGGTATATTTTCTGTCAATACTGTTGATCACAGGTATGTTGATACTTGACTTTCGTGACTTTCTACACATATGATAAATATAATGAAATAGAGATGAAGGGGATTTTTCTTTTCTTGGAATGAATTCAAACCATATTCGTAAAATAAGGCACATGCATCAATATAGGATAGGCACAAAGTTCAGCTCCTTTTATGTTCAACTTGGTCAATGTCTAAAAGCAAAATATGAATCAACGCTTATCAGCATTCGATATCCATAACCCTTACATATTTATTTTAGGAATAAATGTTTATCAGTTAATAATTCTTCCGTGAAATATTTTCCGGCAATAACGTCATTTCCCTATTCTAACCCCAAACGAAATTGTTAAAAAGAAAATGCATCCATTATTTGCACAGTTTCTAGATCTCGGGGACAGGTTGTAAATGTTTCGAAAATCAGCGCTTTTCTACCTGATAAGGAATCAAATAAATATACTTTAAAGCTATACAGCCCAAATGTTAGGCCGATTTTATCATTGAACACTCATGCCACATATATATGCAATGATAATGTATGATATTGTATATAGTTATATCTATTTGGCATTTGTATTAGGGCCACATGTGCAGTGCTTGCATTTGTATATACGATACATCAGTATCACCTGCCAAATTGTTTATTATTTCAGCGTGTCGCGAATTCAGGGCTAATATTCCAAGTTGCTCCGCGATTACCTTCCCGTTACTAGGTGTCTTTGTAATTCTAGAGATACTGATGTATATATAAACACCAGTCTAACGTCATACAGGTGGTCGTTAATGATAGAACAATAGTTTCTAAATTCAGCAGACTTTTTACATGTTCCTCTTCGGTTCGTCAGTGTCGCATTCCTGATATTGTGTGTCGATTCCGCTTCGAGAGTTTATAATCTCTTGTGTACTTCCGGTCATTAGATGGAGTTGAGTTCGATCACCGCGAGATGATGAAGATTGTTTTTCCCCCTGTTTCTATGGTCAGAGAGGGAACTGAGAGGTTTGCTTGGTCTGTACTTGGTTATCATGTCCTCTTTGACTGTCCTGAGTAAGTACATTGTTAATCTACATTAAGTAATGATTCTTTAAGCCTTCGCTCAGCTAGTAGGTAGAATGATCACAACAGCAGACAGTCTGTATATATCACGATATAGATACGAAGTAAACTTGTGAAATACTTTGTCTTTATATATTGGATGAATATTTTTACATATATTGTGCAGAGTATTGTTCTATAGTTTTCATATTTATATGATGAGTTTTAAGAAGTTACGAGGAGGTTGTCATTGATAGTGTTGAACAAGTCAAATGTGTGGAGTACAGTAATAACTCGGTGCTGGACAGAAATGTGTGTTGAATTAAACAAAGAAGTTCGGTTATTAAAAATTTTAATAAGTCAAATAATTTCAGCATTTAAACAATGGGAGTATAACATCATCAATTTGAAAAAAAGAGTGCTGAATGACTGATATTTGAATGTGCACAGTAACAGTGGAATGATTGACAGATGTTGATATCCAGTGATATTAGCATTGCCATATACACTCACATTTTTTTTGTTACAATAGTAAAGGTAGACAAATGTCATTACTGTCCAACTCACTGCTTACATTTTACTTCTACATTACGTCATATATCAAAATGACAACCACACTGTATTAAAAACATTTATTCAAATTTCATTTCCATAAAAAAACATCAACGATTCTTCTACTTAGCCCACATTTTCATTTGTATGTTAGGTTATTTAAAGTTACAAACTTGTAAACAGGTCAGTGTGTATACATTTTTATCTAGATTTATTTTGACTAGTTTAAGTACTACTTTTGAAGTATGGATTATGCGATTGCTACCTGCAGAGGTGGTCACACATCCCAGGATTGAGAAACCAGTTAAATGATTTAGCCTGAGGCAAGGAGACAAAGTCAACGACAGAAAAAAACGAACCGAAAAACCCACGCTTAAGGAAGAATACACAAGGTGCTTTCTTCAGATCTATCTTGGTGGTTGAACTTTAAATGCTGTCAAACGTTCTGTTGCCTCCTGAGAGAAATTTCGACAGAATCTGATAAAATATGGAATATTACGACGCATTTGATGAGAAAGCCACACTACAGGTAACCTCCCAAACGTAGGAGTGTGTACGTCATTGAATAACATGTATTGTCTTTGATCAGTAATCAACTGTTAACTCGACTGTTACAAAGCTCCCAGTCCGGTACCGTGAAATGTCAATCACACTTGTGATGTGCCATATAAAGACATTACGTAAATTTACACGTTTTATATCCCTCCAGTGGGATGTTTTCTCTTCTCCAACGTGTTCACGACCAGTTTTCTAAGTTTGGCATTTATTCTCAGCTAAGTGGGATTTTTTTGTGAGCTGAATTACAAAATGGTTTACACCATTTGTAATTGAAGTTTAAAGACATAATCCAATTTGAATAACATTTCACTAAATTAACTGTCAGTATTTGAGAAGTATTCATTCGACATAATGTCTCTCCTTCTAAAACATCGTTTTGACTTTATTGTTTTTCGGTCGATGCCGATTAGAACAAATTTTTGTTTTTTGTTGCTTTTTATAAAATTTGTATTCTTATTTGATAAACAAAAGCATACTGGCAAGTAGAACGATTGAACAGTGTCGCCTCGCACACTGAGTTAGTTGCATTCTAGCTTTACAATTCTCAGTCGTGTCTCCATGAAACTATGGCGCCAAACTGGATGGCAGCAACAAGAATTCCTACAGATGACGAACCCCGTTTTCTTTCTTGATTGCGGTGTAATTAGAATAAGGATAGTCTATTTATTCGTTCGTTTTGTTGCTAGGTTGTAATAGGGGGGATAATGAAATGGACGTCGCATCGATTTAATACGGGGCAAAGACACAAGTAGCAAGCAGCACTAGTTTTAAATCCATTACACTATAGCTACGTTCAATATATTGATTGATAAATAAAGCTCCGGAGTGAAAAAGCATCGAGATTTATCATCGCAACAGTGTTGTGTATCAAATTGGACTAAATACTAATACCGATGGACACGTAACAATGTACTTATGCAGGAATTTTTGTGGTACCGGTGCTTAGCTGGAACAACGATCTCCCAGCAGCTCCACGAGCAGAGTCCTCTCGTTTCACGGTGACAGCCATATGTTGGTAGCTGTTAGGTAGTTTTATGTTGAAGAGCACTGCTGTGGAAGCTATAGGTAGATACGTTCTAGTCTAAACCACATATATAGGCTCCCTTCGTCTTAGCGTCACTGTCATTTAAACACTTGCTGTATGTATAAGGTAGTATACCAGAGTGACGTCAACACCTTGTATTATCAGCCGACTTGCACTGATGAACTTACCTTGATGTAAAGCAGGTCACAGAGGAGACCGATCGCGAGCTTGACCACTCGAGTGGACAATTACAATGGACATATCTGACTATTAAATTTGTGAATCCATACATATTTCGCTGAACATTTCAACTTGCATGTTATTGGTGGGATACTGTACTTTTCATACGACAGGTAAGTAAACATTAAATGGCGATATAGGTAATGCAAAATTTAAAACTTATGTGTGCGTGTAAGTGTGCCCGATAACGATGTAGTAAACCACTATACACGTTTAACTGTAGTACGCGACTTTTTGAATGTAGATACCCGTATTTTGTCAGGGAGGACTTGGGTTTTGTAGGATTTCATCGATTTTACGATAAATCATTGTGAGTATTTAAATGAATTATATGTATTATATATATGTATTACTGTATCGGGAGTGAAACCCAGGTGTATTCTGATCGTAAACAACCGGGCAATGGAAACGAACATATTGTGTCGACGGACCGGAGGATTCGATATGTATACCTGCTTTATGTATTTATAATGGACTCTGTAGGTATGGGAACGAAATCGACATGTAGCTTTATAGGTCAGGTATCACGTATGATTTATCAGACCCCGTGGGGCCTAAACCTTGATACAGGCAGGTGGATGTTGTTGCAAGCCAGGCGACGGTTTTCATTTGGTTTGAAGGTGAATTTGGGTTCATGTTGGTTTTAACTCATCTCTGTGAACGTTGTCAACGCCAGTGATTTATGACCCAGCGAGAATTGTTTATGTTACGGTTTAAATTTAGATCACATTAACATATCTTATGATTAATTGAAATTTTAATTGAAAACAGAGCAATATCTAATTGATAGAAAATTAGGTTCGTGTGTGTTCAGGAATAAATGTCAAGCGCACATGTCGGAATTTAAAATTAATCAGAGATAAAATATTGTTTGTTTGACATTTGCACTTGTCAACATTTCGAAAAATGTTTAGTTAAGTTTTTTTTGAATACTGTACCAACATTGTTAACTTGACAACGCAACCAAAAATATGCAATATACTTCAACGGAAAAATATTTCGCGATAAAATTTTCCGTCTTCAACTTTTTAGATAAACAAACATCATTTTCCATCAAGTTTAGGACACAAAAGCTATTTTTGTAAAATAATCAAATGACGAATTATGTTGTACTTGATATAGTTCTAATCTCAGTGGTTTGTTAGGCGCGATAAAGCTCACAAAGATCGGGTCCCAACTCAAATGACCCGTGAGGAAAGAGATTAAGATAAGGGGTATTCCATAAACCGCCTGTTATAAGCTTATTCTTTACTCTTAAGCTCTTTCAAGAATGGATAGTGACCCATCTTATTCATGAAAACATTTAATGGTTGGTGAATTATAAACATGTAGAGGGTACACCACTATTGGTACCCGGAAATACGTTGTGTACATTCCGGATAGTACAGGTGTAGACGTGAAGCCGTCAACAACATTAGTTTCCGATTAAAACATTTTCTCTCATTCATGTAAGCAAGCAATATGTTACCCTTCGGTTGGTTCAACTGACACTTATATCAAAAGAATCGAAGTTTAGAATGTTTCAAACGTATCAATTATAGACATCTATTGAGATGATCGTATAGTGATAAGAACCTTTGCGAAATATATTCACCGAAATGAAGTCTAGGCTTATATGCAAACTTTTCAAGTCATTATAACCGTAACTGGTCTGTAATTCTTATATTCTAATTCTTTTATCTGAATCTAATTGTTCTGTATTTATCACTAACAAGATTAAACGTAAAAAATCGGTCAAGAAAAGAAGCATTTTTAGTAAGGAGAACTGTGACGTCACAATTGAAATGATATCATAAATAAAAAGAGAACACGTACTTTCTAAATAAATAACTGATTAACATGTAGTCTTCATGTTGGTATCATATGTGTTTGATAATGTGAAAACGAAAAGAAGAGTAATGACATTTTTTCGCAAAATACTGGAGAGGATCACTTATTTTGGTGAAATTCAGGCGGATGTAACAATTATGAAAATCGGCTCTTCTATGGATTTTCTGGTGGAATCTAAAAATCGATTCGAATTTGGAGGAGCATGGCCTATTTAGTGTGACAAGCCTGTGAGAATGTTGACACGATGTTCCCGAGAGTTGGTGTCTAATTTATGATTTGACGAGTTTTGACATGATACAAAAACGCCCAGTGTAGGTATTGGGTGTCGGCATTGATGGGTAATTAAAGGTTTGGGTCAACATGTAGTTCGATGTATACATCTCCGTGGCGTTGGAAAGGCTGTATTTCTGACTTGTAGTCCGTGTTTGTATGATCTCGATCGTGTGTGTTTGTATGTGTAAACGACTGCCCAGTCAACCTACATTCTGTATTATCCCAAACAAATACTGGAGATTTACATTCTGATTCCATGTATATAGGAACTCCTCGGTATTCTGTGATTTATCATATTTACTATATTGACATATTGGGGCAATGACATTTGACCTCATTCCATCACCCCGTGTAATGTTTATTTATTCAGACATCTCGTGAAATTATGGGATATGCTTAGTGCTACATAGAGTCTATAAATAACTTTATTTGTAATCGTCTAAAATTGAAATTTGAAAAATCGGTCCATTTATATTCATGTATCTTTGATAGTGATTTAATTTAAGAAATAATGTTTTTTTTTTCACTCCAGATAAAAATCAGGAAAATATAACAAACTAACTGTTGATATTCTCATTTTTTGACCGTAAACACGAGTTGAACCACAACATTATTGAATGAACTTTGTGAACAGGTTAGGAAATTCGGACATAGACACGGGAATTCGGAGGGTCATATCAGTCACATCAGTTCAGACGCCGACAGCATGGCTTTGACAACTCTCAGCAAAGATGACAAGAAGGACAAGAAGAAAAAGAAAGAGAAAAAGAGTAAAGACAAGAAAAAGGATAAAAAATTGCAAGAACCTTTTCTTGGAGGCGCCAGCAACAAGGGTGACAAGGTATGTTGACGTTGAGTGTTATTAAGAAAATCTCAACTGAAATGTAATACTCACATCCAGTGTATAGTACTCGTATGACGGGGATACTCATATATTGTTTATGTTGGTACGCAGCGTATACTCACATTTCACACCCGATGTATGTACTCAGATAATTCGAAAATTTGCTTTGGATACTCTCATAAAGTCGATTTTCGCATCCAATGGGTATACACTGAACACACTCGTACGCGAGTACGCATTCAATTACCAGAATACTCACATTTTTGTATGTACTCGTATATTTATTATCCAGATAGCAATAAGAAGCAATAGTCACTAAGTGGCTGGAAATGGAATTTTGATGCATCTTTGAAATCTATCTCTTCCCAATTACAATAGATTTTAAATTATTTGTAAATGGAACTTTAGATAACACGAACAGTGACGTAGCAATAACTGTTGCTTCGTCACCAATAATGGCGTAATCACTCTTGCATTGTGATCTTAGACGACTGTCAATTCAGCAAAAAGTCTGACTTAAGTAGTTGTGATAAATGTTTTTAGACAGATCAGAATACGCTCTGGTAACAAAAACAGAATTGGATCACAATTAGCCTGTTGGATGTGTGATATCAGTCACCCACCTCCACATAAGATTAATTATCCTGACGAGATTCCAACAGCCAACAAAAATCACAGTTGTCTATAGAAATGAATTAAGTAGTCACCTACGTTTTTTTACATGATATATATACAACCGTGTTATGTTACAGTTTGAACATTTTATTGCGAAACATTTTATTAAGGTTCTCGTTTACACTTCACTATGTATTTCCGATTTTAATTTGGCGATCTCTACTTTAAGCCGAGGACTCCCCTCTCCTGTCAAATACGGCTGGATGTCAATGAAGAGTAGATCTTCTGAATACATGTAGATAATTTTAAATGTTCTGTATAGATCTAGCAAAGCCATTGAGAGTATTCAATGAATTCTTTTCACCCGGGATTGATATTCAAAGGGAGTACCGAAAGCTTTTAATTTGAACGTAAAAATCTCCCGTCAATGGCTTGGTGTATTTCTTTAGCATGATTGTGTGATTCGACACCCCCTCCTCTCCCCCCGATTGCCGTCACATATTGATTCAGAGCTGCGTATGTATATTTCTTTATACATGAAGTCAGTGTTAAAATACTTGACCATCGCGGTGATACGAGTTTCATATGTAGTTGAGGTGATATATCGTCAAGGTAACGAGCTAGTGCCCTATGAAGGGGTCAAAAATTCTTTTGTCAGTTTACTGGGATCAGATAAATATAAAGCTGGTGCCCAGGTAGGGGCTCGGTTGATAGGGGTAGTACATGCGTTTGTTATCAGTTCAGATCGATATTTTATGTGTACCCACAACATAAAGCTACCCGACCTAAAGTTTGCATATGTACACATCAAGTTCGTGACGTCATGTATTTGTTCTGTCCGTTCTACTTCCGGCAAAATACCGACATGGTGTGTAATAGTAAACAGAGCAATTTATCTCGATTTACACCGGCGTTGATATATTTAGTGGTATTCTCGTATCATTTGATAGACCTAGGTTATATAAGGTACATTGATAAGCGATAGAATAACCAGCCTAACATCAAATGTTTTGTCTTTTACATTTCAAAATCAATAAGAAAGACAAACGTAGGTAGAGAGGCAGATGTTTTCTCACAATAAAAAAGAGACAATGAAATCAATAATTATTTTGTATAAACTGATGTTTTCTAAGTATTGCTCAATTACGACAGAGATTGTAAAAAGATTTTTTTGTTGTGTGTTTGTGTGTTTTTTTAAATATGAATTAGTTTTGTCATTTTAGATGCTTAGCATTGTTTTAAATTGGCTGGTAGAAGGTAAGCAATGGTCAGCTCATGTCATGTCTTCCTGCTGTTTGACACGTACGCTTGCTTTTTTTACATTCGAGAAGTTTTTCCCTCGTCATGCATCCGTGTAAATTGCATGTGGTGATTTCAAAGAATTTAAAAAGGACTGGTGAAATATTTGAAGATCCCGACGCGATCACTAGCCTACGTCTGTACACACCTGTTTACCAACAAAATAGAATCCTTATCAGTGATTCAATGCCGTGGATTAATGTTGGACCAACAAAAATGTCACCATGCTTAAAATATAGTTAGTATACTGTTTAAAGTGTCAACAAGATAAACAAAAAACTTGGTAATAATCGACACTGTTATAAAACAATACGAAAATCTAGTATTCGTATGTTCAGGAAAACCGGAATCAACCTAGATCATTATAACCAGCATCCGAGATCAATGTTGACAATAGCCATTGTTGCAGGCTAGTTACACCTCCAGGGATTACCCGTACATATATATAACCGCCATACAGGATTTGTAATGTGATCTCGTACAAAGACTCGCAAACACACGTGGCTTGTATACAGTTATTTAACCTCGTCATCATAATAACCGAACACGACTAATTAGTTAGGTTCAGTCACCATTAACACGCTACGTAGCTAAACACCGGAAAGATGTCAACATTGCTGCTGGTACAGCTCGCAGCGAACCTTATGTGAGATCTCAAGTACAGAAGCCGTTGCGACAACAGTGCGTGCATAACCAACGCAATCAGTTATTGATAAGTCATTACTTTAAACGTGTGCAAAGCTAGCATGTTCTCTCTATTGTCATCGTCGTTAAATTTATCTTTCCTGACAATAAAGTAGTGCTTCTTAATCATTTAGGTTCATGTACACAGTCTTAAGGCGGCAAACGCTGATAGCATACTGCTTCCGGTCCCAAGACGCAATTTTAACTCCCAAAGCGATTAGCTGTATCACGTATCTTGGTTACATGCTGCAAGATTAACGGCGATGACTTATAAACAAGAAGAATAGTTCCGCTCCCGAATAGGTTCCATAAACGATTTCTCTGCATGTTGAAAACATGGAGGACTTATTTTGCCCTCCCGCCACATGATATTGAGATCAACATTGTCCAGGGATCAAACGGATAATGTAGTTCCTTAAATGGCGCTTGTTCCCATTTCTCCGAACACTTTTTTTTAAAAAATAATACTTTTAGAAGGATTAGTTTTCTTTATTACTCCATTTTTTCTCGGAAACTCTGCACTGAAATAGCAATGTGTGGCACATTATTGCAGCAAACAAGAATAGAAGCCGTTTCAGTGCTATAGTGATTAGTTTATGTGGAACTGTGATTGACGAGTTTTTTGTGTGTGTCGAGATTTGGCGGTTTGTGTGGTAAATTATTGATGGGACTAGTTACGGCTTCTCTCGTTATCAGGAGTGACAGAGTCGTTTGCTGCCAGATTTGCTCCGATATTGCGTCAATAAATTCATAGATAAAGTGAAGTTTAGCTGCTAAAATATTAAACAAAACCACACTGGGTCCTGTCACGTACTGACAACTGAGGTATTGTTTTGCTGAAAAGTGTGAAAAATAATGACTTTCTCAGCAAAATCAGAACACCGAGCAAATAATGTACGGAAGCAGGTTTGAGCAATCACATGGTATCAAAGTGACTTCCCCTTATCTGCTACCAACTTTTTACGATCCATTCTCCACATTTAGATGTTATATCATGAAACATTTCATCTTCGATATTCTTAGTGACGTTCTCAAGAATCATGTACGCAAAGCGATTCATTTTTTAATGATCTCCCTTGGAGAGAATTCTTTCATTTCCTGCTTTAGTGGTGTTAAATGATATTTTCTCTAGGACTTCGATACGCGACATCCTTCCAAGTGAGTTCAAAATAAAACCTTTTAAAACTGAAATTGATAGTAGTTTGAAAGATGAATTCGTGATTATTAAACCGGGTCAAATAGTAATTTCGATGTCTCCAGTATATTTTTTCACTGGTAGAATTTATATGAAATACATGCATATTAAATGAAGGACTGTGAAGCACTGCTTCACCCGTTACAAAACAAATTCAATCACATAACAAAAACCTGACACGGATGCACTGAGTGTGGTGCCCAATAGAACAGAAATAGTAATCCCAAACACAACATGTTCGTCGAATAACTGTGAACACGGCTCATATATATACAAGCAGGTGCACAAATTGCATTTTAGATAATGCACACGTTTTGATTGAAATGAAAACATGTACGAATATTGTATACAATTGACTTTGGTAGATACCCTTGATTAACTGAAATTTATACCTATAAAGAGAACGGATTGTATCGTTTGTCTTTGTCAGTATACAGGTTGGTGTATGGAGTGTGTCATTTACTCGACAGACTATTGTTACATCTCCATACAAATCTAGCTATGGCGGAGGGTTTCTGACAATGCAGGTGTAATTGGGCAGAACATGTTCTCTATTATTTGCCCGTAGAATACTACACCATTGTAAGTTTTTTGTCAAAGTCACTAGACTTTATACCTCGTACTACAATGTTTCTTTATCACAACAAATCTGACCAAGACGGTTTTAACGAACCAATGCATGTACATTCAGTCAATGATTACTATTTACTAAAAATAGCACTCAGGGCGGTCGAATGGTGGCCCCAATGCATTCAATAAAGTAATAGAAATACGAAATGGGTTTGGAATTTTCTACATTGTACTTAACAGTGTTCTTTGTGAATATTTGATTGTAGTTATTAATGTTATATGTTGATGATGTCAATACACTAAATCAGTAGTTGATCCTAGTTCAGGTATAGGTTGATCACATTGCATTGTACTGAAATTGATTCGCTTTATTCAGTGTAACACTAAGTGCATGTTATTAAGATTAAATAAAATTTATTAGTCATCCTTTGGTATGAATAAACCAATTAAAGCATTTGAATAAATAATGCACTTTGAGATCCCGTGTCAAACATTGTAATAACGTTAATATCAGCTGTTTTTTATTCACTTTTCCGTTTCCAATATGAAATCATTTCTCATAATTAATTTTCTTCTTTCCTGTTTTGCTCACACAACATTACAGTCAGATGAAATCGCATGCCTATGCAGACCA